TGGATGTAAAGGAGTAGTCCGAGTCTTTTGCATGCCCATGCGCTCGCACATAGCAGAAAACACACATGACTCGAAGTTTATGCCTTGGTCGCTGTGCATGACCTCAGCTGCTCCAAATCGGGCAAACATGCCCTCCACCAGAGCATCTGCAACAGTCTCTGCCTCCTGGTATGGCATACGCCTCCGGCCATTTTGTAAAATAATCCATGGCAGCTAAAACATAACAGTTGTCTATGTCTGTGCGAAGAAACGGGCCATTATGTCCACCGCCACCCTCTCCATTGGGGCCCCCACTGCCAGCTGCTGGAGCAGGGCACGAGACTGATCCAGGGGACCCTTATGTGCCGTGCAGAAATCACAGCGGCGACAAAAGTCCTCGACATCTCCTCATCCGACCCCAGTAGTACCATGAGAGGCTTTCAGCACTGTCTTTCTCAGTGACATAACGGTTGCCCCTGTCTGTGCGAGGAAACGGGCCCATTATGTCTACCACCACCCTCTCCATTGGGGTCCCCACTGCCAGCTGCTGGAAACTTTGTAAACAGTCCTTTAGTAGCAGAAGAGCATCCAGCAACCTCGTTCCACTGTGGCTGTTGTCCTGACTACATCCATTGCAGCACGGGGTGCAGATCAGCATCCTGCTCCTGCTGCGCTCTCCATTCAGGTGAGTCAACAACCTGCATCTCTCTGCTGACAGGCCCTTCTCCATCTTGCATGGAGCCTTGTTCCTCCACACGGAGCTCTTTCTCCTGGACCTCTCTTATTTCACAGTATCTGCAGCCGTTGAGAGCACAGGGGTGCCGAGACATAGCGTCAGCATTGTCATGGTGAGTTCCAGCCCTGTACTCCTCTTGAAACACATACCCTTCTAGCTGTTGGCATTTGCCATCCCTCAACCTTTGGGCGGCGGGACCCAACTCGTCCTGTGTGCGTGTTTCAGGGACACAGTCAATGCAGACAATATTAATGATAAATCACTACACAGGTGAAATGAGCAAACAACTTCAATTGTTCAACAGTGCATTTACAGAGATCTCTGGTTTCATTGACAAGTCACAGCAAACGGATCGTGTCTCCCTCTCTGGATGTCAACACTCACAAGCAGTTGCATGTGTTATGTCGACGAAGCAGAAGGACGAATGAATGCCCTCATTGTGTTCAGTGTCTCATACTCTTCTTTCTCAAGCTGCCCCCTCGGTGAGCTTATCTCTGTTACCAGATTAGGAATTGTTTTCATAACTTAGTGTGATTCAGTGGGTAAGACAGGGTGCAATGTCCACAGTTGGCTGAACATGGTTATACAAAATGACGATTCATACAAAATGGATATATTTTAAGTTTTAACAGTCCCTTTCTTGTTACGCCACAAGTGACATAAGTAAACTGTAGTATAAAAGCAATCATCAACATCAGAGAAACCCTGAATACTTAATTTCTGTAGAGCCCCTTCTCCGTTTCATTTATCATTAGTGCTATTGGCGGGCTGCTCATTTAGTCTGTTTTGCGCCCAAGAATTGGAGACAATACGATAGCATAGTTACAAAAATTAGGATCAGTGTGGTTCCTCTCAAACCGCACAGTCCCGGATGTCTAAATGGATGCCACGGTAGTGGTCTTTGGACGTCACTTAACCTTCTCATCATTCAAAACAAGCATATATTTTAACAAG